CTTTGTCGTCTCTCTCTCTCTCTTTTGCTAATATAAAATGCGTAATGCAAGTCCAATCTTTTTTGTTACATCTCTGGCCATCTCTGCACTCACTCAGAACAAATTTGAACAAGTTTTATGCTCCCTGTGTAGAAATATAGAAATATCACTATAGTACTTTCTTCAGACTTTGTCCAAACAGTGTAAGTTAGAAAAAACTAATAATACATACAAATACAACACTGTGCAAAAGTGCTATCATCATTTCTTTATGCCTTGCTTTGAAGGATAGGACATTAGCTGCTTTTTCTCTCGTTTTCAGTCCAGTCCTTGTTTTTGTTTTTTTAGTTTTGCCACCTAGATCTGACCTATGAAAATTTCAGTAAAAAAATGGCACCTCACTCAAGGGATGAACCCATTTTGTGTCACATGCATTACAAACAACTTACTTAACTATAAATAAGTAACTCATCATAATCATTCTGAAAAAACATTTTCGTCCATTTCATCAGTTGAATAAAAAAAATGCACAAAGATAAAAAGTATGCACAAAAACAGAAACACAATTTTTGCACCAACAAGATGATGGCTAAAGCATTACTAGCTGGAAATTTGGCATGTATTCGCCTGATGTACAGTGTGTCCTTATAAAGTGCGAGGAAACTGGACAAGTGGGGCACAAAAGAATAAGTGTCAGGCCTTCAAAACTATCTATAGCCGATGGACAGTACTTATAGTATCTGCTGAACTCTTTAAAATACAGTGGAAGCTCTGTCAGGGTTTGGGCTGAATTTCAGTCAGTGGTGTTGGAGAAATTGATGGAATTATGGGCTCCATCAGATTTTTACCTACCATGCAAAGCCATCTGGAAAGAGTATAAATGGTAATGGGTTTATTTTTTAGCATAGAGTACTAGTGAAATAAAATGATGCCTGGAGAGAAACACAGAGGTCTGGGCACAGAGTGAAACACAGTGCCCATCTTTTAATCCGTCTGGGATCATCTTGACAGAGAATGGAGCCAAAAATGGTCAGCATCCAATGAAGAATACATTGGAAGTCTCTTCATAAACCCTGGAGAACTATACCTGAAGAATACTTAAAAATGACAAGAAAACTTGTATAAGTTCATTCAGGCTGTGTTGAAGGATAAAGGTGGTGATAGCAAATACTGACTTTCAAGTTTGTTACAATTGTTCTGTTTCTTGTTTTACTAGCAAAAACCCCCAAAAAGCAGTATGGCTTAAGAATATGGCACAGTCCATTGGATAATTTAGAAAAGAATAGAACAGAGTAGCATTTTATTGTCATTGTACATGTATGATGACATTATGGAATAAATTAGGAAATTTAAATAAATACATAAAACATTTTATAGTAAACTTATTGTCACTCTCCCAGTCTATACAATGCAAAGTTTGCTCTGCATTTGCAGGGACAGGCTAGTTTACGCTACATTCAAAAAAATGAACGTGTTCCATCTTAATTGTCAAACTGAAGCACATTTTCTCTGTGTTGTTTTATTATTGTGCTGAAAAACCGACAGACAAACTCTTCCACAACAGAACTTTTAGTTTAACTGAACTGTTATGTGTGGGTCTATTTATTGATGGCACACATTCTAATTTAACCTTGTTGTCACATTGGGTCATCAAGAGGCAAATAATTAGAACTAAGTAGATGAGCCCAGCTTCTTGTCGCCTGGCAACAAGCTAGACTCCTCTGTTTATTGTCGTCTTTTGTTTGTTTTAGTGTAAGACATCACAGAGCGTCTGGGTTGAGAAAAGTGTTTGTTATTTACGGACATCACGTCCTGTGATTTCTGGCTACTTAGCTGCTCAAAATTCAAACAGTATCTCCTGATACCATCTGGGGCTGCCAGTGAGTGAATACCTAATGTAGCTTTAAATATTTTGCACTCTAGGGATGTCACACCTGCAAATTACTTCAATAGTAAATCTGAAATTGCAGTTTAGGGCAACAAGTAGTAATAATAGTGCTTCTGTTATCACATAAAGATTCTCATTCCAGCTTTGTTAACTAATGCAAAACATTCATTTTAAGATGTGATTTCTCAAAGCTTTTGTGTGCAGTAATTCATTTTATATCTACATTTAGCTCATTTAGCTAAAATCTGGAAAACAACTAAATCCTGCAACAGTGTTTTATGAACACACACTTTGCACTACTTCTCTTCATGCCTTTAGCCTTGAAGCCTCCTGGCTTGGCTGAACAACAACTTGCAGAAACACACAGAAACCAGTCTAACCACTTTAGCAGCACGGCGATTTGTGCCCCTGTCCCACTTTCCTGTATGTCTATAAGGAGTATTTCAAGTGGTGTAGATGACTGTTTGCACGTGATGGAAGGATTTCTCCCAGCTGTCCTGATTTGGGTACAGATCAGACATCAGAGCAGAGTCTTGTAGATGAGAGCATGTTTCCTCTGCTACCAATCAGGGCTGTCAAGTGTGTCATAATCACTTGACAACCACCTTTGGCGTGTGCGCAACTGCTCAGAAAAGCATTTTACATATGTTATCTTCAATATTTTACATTATTTTGCCATTAAGTCAAAAAAGTGACATAAAAACACACTAAAGAACTATTTCATTTTGTTTTTATAAGACCAGAGATGTTCAAAATCCCAAACGTTTTTCATGCAAAATAGTCATGCTGCTAAATCTCACACATTATTGACAGGAATGCTCTACAGATTTCTCTGGAATCAGACTTCATGCATAAAGAGACTAAAAGGAGCATCAAGAAAACATGAAGAAAAGGAGTTAAAAAATTGCTTTGTCTTTGCCAGAGAGCCATATTTTGCATGACATTTTGTGAAAATTATAGAGCACTTGTGTGGCTGATCTTATATTCTCTCACTACAATGTGCTTTTCAATTTCTGTACCACACGTCTCTGCTCGAGTGCTGTTGTGTTAAATGACACCCTAAAAATCACTCTGCTTCAATCAAACTTTCTGAAGAGTAACATGGGGGATATCAAAAGATGACCAAGGCTGAAGAGGAAGGTAGACAAGGGAACCATGTGGAGCATATAAAGGAAGGTCAGTGCATGTGAAAAGGGTATGAATGAAGGGATGGAGTGCATTGGTCTGTATACCTTGAGGCCAAAGTCTGAGGGGAAAGGCCTATAATGGCATGCGCTAGTGTGAGCTAGGCTGGATGGTTGCATACTCGACAAGATCCCCAGGGCCAGTGTGAGCAGAGCTTCGTGGGCTTGGAGTGGAGGCCAAAGCTGCAGTATCCAGCTCCGCATACTGGACATCACAGTCCTTGTGGCCAGAGTTCTGGAGACAAGAGAGGCGAAAGTGTGTGAGGAGTGAGGCAGCCAAAAAAAAGAGAGTGTGAAAAAGATAGAAAGCTGACGAGAGAAAGAGAAAGTGGGAGAGAGCAAGTGAAAGGCAGACAGATGAGAAAATTGATGACTGAAGGTTGAATGGTCGTGGGGACATTTTGAGTGTGTGAGCAGCAGTGCTAGACTGGAAGACAAAGAAAAATGTGTGCGCATGGGGGGGAAAGAAAACGTGAAAGGTGAAAATTATTATGACGAGCCAGCAATGGAGTCGTTGAACAGAAAATCACAACAGTGGGGAAATTATTATATATTAAATTAAAAATTAGAGATGGAAAAGAACTTAATCTTTGTTTACTATGCACATACCATTATTCTATTATTTTTCCATATTTATCCATAAAGTGTTGGCATGTGCAACAGGAACATATTTTGGTCCAGCTGCTATTTTCTTTTCTTAAGATTATGTTTGTATAGCTCATCTATGCATATCCAGGAAATCATGTACATTTGATAGTCATGAAAACTGGATTCCAACGGAAATAAACACAAAACAAGCCAAACCCACTGCGGGCATGCGCAGCTCTAATGCGTGGATTATACTGAACACATGTCCATGTAATCCTTCAGACTACAATGAAACTAATAAATGTGTCCTGATCACAGTCTGAATTAACTGTTTACATTGGCAACCACGGTTACCCTGTGGCACATGGAGATACTTGCAAAGCCCAGAAGCGAGTTAACGGAGATGCTTGTGTGGCTTCCATTGTGCTGATATTTCAGTGTGCATGTAAACATAGACAAAGACCTTCATTCAACTAGAATTCGACCACTGAGCACAAAAAACAAATCCAATGACTGACTCGATGAGGAATTGGCCAAGTGGATGATTGAGCAAATGACCTTAATGGGGTGATCAATAAATGACAATGACAGCTTTGAACGCTCTTTATCCAAATCCAATAAAACAAAACAAAACACGTTGTTCCTCCATTAATAAAAATTTACAAAACTAAAAAAGGTGATTTCGTTTATCATATATCAATTGAAAATAGCCGAAAACTGTAGAAAACCAACATAATATCTTCTGCGCCCTTTAAAAATGTATCTTATGTAGGAAAAGTGAAAATGGAATTTTTGGATTTTCCTTATTTTAATAAAATAAACAATCTAAACAGAGCTCAGATGGGCAATGATGATGAAATAAAATGTAAGTTTTTTAAAAACAGAACAACAGGGTTCAAAGTGTCTCTGAACTGATTCTACAACCCACAAACAAAATGCTTGCTGTAATGAAATCAGTGGAGTAAAATTGTGAGTGGTTAAGTAAATGCAAAGCACAAATGCGCCACATCTAAAGCTGCGTGGTAAAGACTTGTGAACGAGAAATGGAATGAAATGATACGTGTTGCATCAATGTACTTTAATTCCATCTGAGAAAAGATTACGTAGAAATGACTGAAGCTTTTACAGAATCTCCTGTAAATAATTTAAATCTACTTTGCAATCTCTCCACTATTGCATATTTCCCCGCCGCTCACACTCTGCACTCACTGGATATTTAAATATCGAGAGTATTTGTCATGACCGGAGTGCAATCAGGGGGAAAATTACAGCCACATTGCATTCAAAATTGGCAGATAGTGTTTTGCCCCTAGAGAATCATCATTAGTAACACTCGACGCTCAGCAGTCAATGCATGTCTTTCACAAATAGTGTTTTGAAAACCTCAGTGATACCCTATTCATCTTAAGAGCAGCCCTAAACTTCAATTTAAGTGGAATGTTATCAGAGATAAGAAATAAATCTTAGGAAGATCTACCCTTGGTGTCCAAGGATTATCTGAATTAAACATCCAGTTCCTTTGAGCATAGAATTGAAGATGATAGTTTAATATCCTTGAATAACTACACAGAAAATCAAAATCAATTCGCCCAGGGAAAAGAATGATAGTAATTGAGTTATCCCTCAAGTTCGGTGAGAATGAGTCATTTATAAAGTGCACCAAAAATGCAAAGCAGTTTTAACAAGGTTAGCTGACAGGCTAATATATTGAAGTTGGTGGCATCAATATAACATCAGTGCGGTTTTTATTTCTTTCTTTTTTTATTATTTGTACTTTTATGCATGAGTTAGTTAGGCTTAGAACGTAACAAAGCATTTTTACCCTAATGGTTAGAGCAGTGTTTCCCAACCTTGGAGCCACGGCACATATATCACATTAGAAAAGTCACACGGCACACCACCAAACAAAACAAAAATTTCACAAAAAGCATATTGATCATTTTCCCCTACGCACCAGGTATAGCAGAATTGGCTCAGCTTTTTGCTTTCTTCTGAGCACTACTCATGCTAGGGCCTTTATCTGGGTCAGAATTTCCTCCAGGACCCAGGTTAGATTGATTACTTTTTCTTTTCAAATATTTAACTATTGCTATTATGCACTGCATGGTCTCACAGTTTAACTATTATGTAATTTCTTCTCAGTCTTCTTCTGTTTTACTGGCAGTTGGCAACCAATTTAATTAGAGCAGGTAGTTGTACTGCCCTCTAGTGGAAGAGAATGCACCTGTGACTCACGCCAATTGCTTAGAGCAGCGGTCCCTAACCCCCAGGCCACGGACCGGAGTCGTTTGGTACCGGGCCGCGAGAGACTCGGGTGTGAAATTTATGGTTTCAGGGTTGCATTTGTTTATTGTATATATATAATTATTGTTTGTATTTCGTAGATAAACATAACAAAATAAAATAAATACAACAAAATAAAACATTGTTGTGAAAACATTGTCGGATGTAAATCGGTCCGTCGCGGAAAAAAGGTTGGGGACCGCTGACTTAGAGTACTAATTAGGTGGAACCAGATAATCTTCCATGGCACAGCCGATCATTTTTTGCCCAGTTGTTGGGAAACACTTGGTTAGAGAGACAATCTAAACATTATTTCAGCTGTCTCACAGTCCACCACTTTTATTTTACCTGCTAGAGTCCCTTCTGCTACCTCTAAATTGTGTAGATACTGTATATGTGTGTCTGTGTGTGTGTTTATGTCCTCAGAACAATAACATCCTTGGATTAGCAGGCTGTAGAGCTGCGGATGTTTGCCGATGCTTTGAAAAAGTGACGTCTAAAGACGTGTTTGTTTGTGATGAGATCTGGTGACTGAAAGCCAAATTCGTCATATGACTTGATCCTTCGAAAAAACTATTCAGTAAACTACTAGAGCCAGTTTATTGAGGCATTGTCTTTCTGGAAGATGTTTCATAGGAGGTTAGAGGTGATCACATAGAACAACTTTATATTGATTTACAGTGACCC